AGGGACGGGCCACGAGCCTGGGCCACAGAACACAGACAGGGCTGTGCTTCCCGGCAGATTGGGGACAAGGAGGACCCCTCGGCCGAAGCAGCATCCCGGGGCCACAGGTGCAGGTGGGCTTGGGGGCCGGGTCCAGGGCTGGGGCTGGCTTTGGCCTGGGGAGGCCAAGGCGCTGGAGAGGCCGAGGCCTACCCGCTTGGGCCCGAACAGGTTGTTGTAGAGGGTCCGGAAGCTCTTGCGCGTGTAGTTGCAGCGGTAGGCCCCGCCCATCAGGTACTCCAGCACCAGCCCGATGTCTATGAGGCTAATGTGGTAGTCGGGCGGCAGATTGCTCTGGGGGGAGGAGGTGGCGTCTCAGTGTTCACTGCTCTGGGTGGGCCTCACGGCACGCCAGCCCAAGTACCCCTGCTCCCCCCAGCCCCACGTGGGCCCCACGGCATACCCAGCCTGAGTGCCCCCCACGTGGGCCCCACGGCACACTCAGCCCAAGTACCCCAGCCAAGCAATGGGCTCCATGGCACACCAGCCCGAGTGCCCCTCAGCATGGTGGTTAGTCTGCCCAGAGAGTCAGCAGCATCCAGACTCAGGGGACTGGCAGGAGTCAGTGCGAGGGCAGAATCCCCCGGAGCGGGGCTTTGAGGGCCCAGGTCTCGGTAAGACCACAGGCTCCCCAGACTCATGCGACTGGGAGCTGGCGGAGGGGCAGTTCTGCACTGGCTGGATGAGGGTGTGTCCAGGCAGGACCACCCACGGAGAGGTGCCCTGTGCTCAGACAGACATGGGCTGCTGCTGTGGGGTACTGCAGGGACAGTGTGCACGTGGTGGGGTGAGGTGGGGCGAGCAGGGCGTGGACAGGGCCAAGTCTGGGGCGCGGGTGTCCTAAAATCAGTTTGACTTTGTGCTGCAGCCGTTAGGGGTGGGGAGGTCAGCAGAGGCAGGGCTGGGTGGCACAAAGGGGGAAATAGGATGGGGGACAGGGGACAGCGGAGGACACGAAGCCATCAGGAGAGGGAGAGTGGCCCGTGGCTTCTGGGGGCCGCCCTTTCTACCTTCTTCCAGGTGTGCTGTGGGGAGTCAGAGTCCGTGCGTGGAGTCCAGGGCACAGGGCCAGACCCACTGAGCACATGGCCCAGATAGAGCTGCCAAGACCACGAGGCCACGCTCCTAACCAGTGTCCAGTGTCTATGGGGCCCTCGCCCGGGCTCCCAGGGACTTGGCTGAACCCTCTTCTCTTGTCCACCCCTACCTCTCCCAACTGTGACAGCTGTGATGGCACTTCAGGCTGAGGCTGCCTCCCAGCAAACTGCAGCCTTGTCCCCAGCCTACAGTGACGCGCCGTGGCAAATACTGCCACAGAGCACTGCCCACGCCAGGGAGGCCCACGCGGCCGCTGGGGTGGGGGCAGCTGCCGTCACACGAGGGAACAGAGAGGGCCGAGAGCAGGCGCGGCCGTGACAGGACCGCCAGGATGGGGG